CCCCTCCCCTGCTCCTGCTGGCCACACCACTCCTGATACAAGCCAGGATGCTGGTGGCCCTCTTGGCCACCTGGGCACCCTGCTGGCTTGCCCTCTATTCCAGCCTTGAAATCCAGTAGCGCGGATTCCACGCCCAGCCAGAAGGTCCGGCAGAGCTGCCGCAGCTGCGCATTTCCCACCCCTGGTGCCGTGCAGGGCTTTCACGATGCAAAGTCCTGCTCATTTGAGCAGACAGGAATGGAACATTTTGAGAACAGCAGCTTTTAAACAATCGTTAAGAAAGGGTCTCTCATCTTTCCTTGGTTATGATTGAAACATTAGACACCTGTGTCATTCTCAATTTGCCCATCGAGAAGTTCCTTTCTAAGCCGGCCATAACCATCCCATGTACCTCAACCGCTCCTCACAGCAAAGTGTTCGCTTGGGCTTGGATCTGCTGGGTCCACGCAGGGCTCTTTTGCTTCTTCCCCACACGTTAAAAGATAAAGCCACAAAGTCAACTGCGGAAGAAGGAAAGTCAAGACACTGTAAATACCGAGATAGCATTGTGCCCAACAGACCAACCTCCCTCTAGGGATGCCTGCGCGTCGGGATCTCCTCCTGGAGCAGGCTGGAGAGCTGACGAGCCAGATGATCAGGGGAGAGCAGAAGAAAACAGAAGTTAGACTGCCGGACAGTCTGGAGCAAGTCACCTGGAAATGTCAAAGCCAAACATGAAATAAAAGGCAAGCCTGGGCAACTGCTTTATGAGGAGATTTCTTTTTATTAAACAGAAGGTTGCAAGTCCTGCATCAGGACAGACTCTTAAGAGTATGTGAAGCCAGGCAAAACAAAACAAAAAATAAAAAAAAAAATAAAAAAAAAAAAAATAAAAAAAAAAAGGACCTGAGGATCCATGGGCCCAAACCTCTACGCTTTATTTAACATAAAATAAGCTTTGCAAAAACCAGATGGACTCAACTGACAGCTAAGGAAGCTGATTTTGCACATCCTCCTATGCTGTGTGCTTATCTGAACGTGAAACCTATTCCAACATGATGAGGAGTAGAAACCTCAGCTTGGATCTCAACATCCCAGAGCAAAAGACCAGAAAACCCCAAAACCCAACCACCCCCACCCAAAAAATGGGCATCTAGGCTAATACAGCACTCACCAGGATCGCTTTATTGAGGAAGTTCAAAGTTCATTCAGGGTCTTTTGCTCATTAAATTGGTATCTTAACACCGCCAGGGTACAAGAGGAGGTGTTTTAGGTTAGATGTTAGGGTAACAGCAGACGCAGGCTCGTGGAAGAAAGAGACCATAGCTTTTCTTATCAAAACAGTTTTGATTACTTGCAGAGTTGATATTTATCACGATAATTCTACTCTAGAACTTCCTACACTAACAGGCCATTTGAAAACAACCTTCTATAATAAAACCTGTGATGAGTTTGACTGGTATTTTCAAAGTGAAAGTCAACATTTTCACTTAAAAACCCCCCTCTGCTCTACTGTTTCAGTCTAACGGCTTGGTCTGAAGGAAAAATCTGGCAGCATGATGAAGTACGAAAACCACATGGGTAACAGAACTGCCAGTCATTAGTCTGGAAATATTTTAACTACCTCAGATCTTCCTGTTCAAGCAACGCAGAAAACTCCAAAACGTACAGTTAGGATAAAAAGAAAAAGATGAAGAAATCTGGAAATTGGTTTGAGGGATTAAAAAAAAAAGAATCAAATGCTTCCTTTGAGTAGCGACAGTGTCTTAAACCCAGTCTCCAACTCATAAACACAAAAGAACATTGTTAACATGCAGAGAATTTAACTTTCAAGCCCTGACCTGAAAACGTGATTAAAACCGCCCGTGACCACAAGTGCGCGGATCGCCTGTCTCGTTTGCATTCGTAATTTACCAAAAGACAGTAGTTCCTCTCAAGTTTTCAAAACAAAACTCAAATACTTCAAGGCCATTTGATATCGCCACTCCTAATTTAGGGTAGATGGTGAAAACCACTTCTGGGTCCCTGCTGCTGCCTCTTAAAGAACAGAGGAGCTGAAGAGGAACGCCCCCATGTAGAATCTCTCTGCATCTCCCAAGTACTTCTGCCTTCGTGTCTCAGGTAAGCAGAACATGGAAAGTCCGTTAGCAGATGACGTAGCGGACAAGTTTTGAGCCACGAACTTCTCTCACTCTCTGGCAATGGCGCAGGATATTGAGGATCCCATGGAAGCGCTTATCCACTTTCAGCTGAGTGAACTCTTTGATATCAGCCTCCACAATAAAAAATTCACCTGGAAAACAAATAACAACTTTGCTGGAGAAATGACGGTGTTGTAGGATACAGTTAGCATTTCATCAGTAACAATTCCACCTCTTTTTAACAATTCCATACCCTGATGGGAAAACACAAGCAGCAGTAGGACAGTCTCAAACTGTCTCAGGAACTTTGTTCTACTTTCCAAATTTGTCACCAGAGAGAAGAGTTACCAACATTCTCATTAAGTTCAACT